CAAAAAAAAAGTATGGGGTCCCCCTAAAATTCCTATCAGACCCAAAGGGTCTGGTAGGAATTTGGGAGGGGGGAGCCCACGCCGTTATTTTTTTTTATTTTCACATTTAACAACATACTAAACTCCATCCCAATAGATTCAAATAGATTCGAATTCCGTAAATGAAAACTTCAGACTATGTGAATTTAATGGCTACCCTTGAGGCAATAACTATGTGTGTGAAATTTCCTTACAACCACTGATCTCTCCTATGCCTAAAAAAGCATACGTTTGCTAGTATTTTTTATTTTTATTTTGTATCAACATAAGTGCAGTCCTATTTGTTCATGTCTTCTTTTATTATTTTACTTTCTAGTTAGTAGTACTGATTGTGTTGGTGCTTTATTGTCTCTCCTATATTCCTATATTTGAATTTTAAGCTCTTACAAAGCAGGGCCCTCCTAATCCTCTTGTATGGAATTATATTGTAACTGTACTGCGTATCATTATTTTGTAAAGCTGTGCAAACTGTTGGAGATATATACAATCTGTATTATAATAATTATTATTTAATAATAATAATAATAATATGTAATTGCAAGTCTGTGGGCCAGTTCAGACTGATGATAATTTATTCAAGACAATTCACTCTCAAGACACTCTCAAAGGTGGCCATACATTGTTAGATTTCCGTTTGGAAATCGTACTAGACATGTGCGATTAGTTTCTTTCCAAAATGAAATTTGGACGAATTTTCGGAGATTCTGACACATCCGAATTTCTGAATCCAAATGCAACCAAATGTGTCTGAAACCGAATTTCGGATCGTTTCCGAATTTCGGATCGTTTCCGAATTTCGGATCCCGTCCGAATTTCGTTCCAAAACTAAACTGAATGTGACTTTTCTTTCCAATCAGATGTGTTTTTTTCGATTTAATGCATCCGAATGGGTCTGAACACGAATTTCCGTTACGGCAATATGGGAGCCCTATACAGTATATACATTTAATACTAAAGCTGAGACTCCTAGACCCGAATGGCATTTGAGATCCAAATTTCCGAATTGCATTCGGGGGGTTCTGAATGCCATTCGGGTCTGGGAGCCTCAGCTTTAGTGTTATGTGTATATGCCCCCCAGACCCGAATGGCATTCAGGACCTCCTGAATGTATTTCGGAAATTCGGATACCGAATGCCATTCGGGTCTAGGAGTTTCAGCTTTAATATTAACATCTGTATATGATTTTCTGTTCGCAACGAATATTCGTAAACTCATCCGAAACTAACAAAAATGTGGATTTTGTCTGATTCTGATATCCGAACCGAATTGCATTTTGGATCCGAATCCCAAAATAACGAAATATCCGAACCAAACCGAATTTTTCCGCAGCTTACATGTCTAAATCGCACACGAACGATCTTTTGAACGATGATTGAACTGTTGATGGTACAGCACCAATTTTCTTCTATGCTAATATGAATTAAATTTTTCATACAGTCAGGTTGGAAAATGTTTCTTTGACCGATTTAAATTCGATGAATGAGTGGGGTTTTCATTCATCA